TTTCCGTATGTGTTTTGGGCGGCGTTTAGCACAAGTTTCCAGTAGATCATTGAATTGTGTATTTGTATTCATCAGTTGTTTGTTTGCAGCATGTTTAGCATTAGAAGAGCAAAGTTTTGGTTGTTTTTTATCGTAGTCGGTCGAGTTTGGTGCATCTTTATTCAGTTTTGGTTCTATTAGTGGTTTCTATTTAAAAATTGTTGACGCTTCGCGTATCCCCACCAGCCCATCCAGAAACGATGCTCAGGGGAGTTGAGGTGATCAGGGAAGTCGGGGAGCATGCAGAATAACAAAGGGCGGGGAAAGCTGTCACAGACCCCGAGAGGGGGAGGATGGAAGAGGAGTCGTCGTCGTCGTCGGAGGAGGAGGGGGAAGAGGAGGAGGAGGAGGAGGAGGAGGACAGAGAAGGAGGAAGAATCGGAGGAGGAGGAGGAGCAGGGGAAGGAGCTTCTTGGGGGTCTTTTGAGGGCCTCTTGGAGGGTTTTTTGGGCGCCTTGGGGCATCTTGGGCGCCTCTTGGGACCCTCTTGAGGCGCTTTGGGGAGCCTTCGGGGCGCTTTTGGGGCCATCTTGGAGGGAGTCGATCAAACAAGAGGGGGGGTTTAATTAGCGCCCCCCCTCGGAAGCCCCTAAACTCGCCTCTTGGACCCCTCTTGGAACGCTCTTGGAGTGCTCTTGGGCGCTCTTGGGGCCGTCTTGGGGCTCTTTTGGGGCTCTCTTGGGGCCCTCTTGGGCCATCTTGGAGCCATCTCCAGGCCTCGGATAGCCATCGGAAGCGAAAAGGCGAGAAAGCAAAAATCATTGATGTTCCTTAGGTTTTGGGACGATTTTGGCCTCTTCGGGGCCTCCTTGGGGAGCTGTTTGGCCACTTGGAGTTATCTTGGGGCCGTCTTTGGGCTTCTTGGAACCATCTTAGGAGCCATCGTGAGCGATCTTGCGCTATCTTGAGCCATCTTGGAGCTCATCTTGGGTTCTCTGAGGCGCTCTTTGAGCCGTCTTGGGCCATCTTGGACGCTCTAACTACCCGCGGCCCCCCCCGTCCAGGTCCAGGGGAGGGGGTAGGGGGAGGGGTAAACCCCTCCCCAAGGGGGAAGAGGGGAGGGGTGGAAGAGGATCTGCTCTAGACCACCTACGCCCAGAGGGCTGGTGGGATTCATTCACACTCCAACTCATTCACAGTTAGATCCACTCCCAGGCCGTCAATACGCAAGCCCGTTCATATTCGAAAACTCCTTGCCCCTAGACACTCACGGCGGACAGGTCCATGCTAATAGATGCACATATGGGGAGTTCCACGTTGTGAATCATTTTGCTGTTTTGGGATTTTCTTCGGGCGGGCCCGCACCCAATGTACTTTATCCGCCTTCCTACTTCATGTGTCCACCTTCTACCGGCTGACGGGTACGAGGCCCCTTGAGGTCAGAGCCTTTTCCCAAAGTCCTTTCGTTGACGGTCCTGAGGCCCAGTGAGGGCTTCCAGAAGCCGACAATTGGGGACAAACATTCAGCCTTGATGTTTCAAGTCTCATGAGTTTGCTTTCCCCTACCGCCACCACCATAGACTAGGGGTGGTTGACCTTTGCTAGTGCTTTGCTGGGCGCGGTCAGCGCGTCGCAAAGCAAACCATTACCATTGATCAGCCGCCCCTGGTCTGAAGTGGTGGTCGTGAAAAGCAGGCCCAACAAAGGCACTGGATTTCTGGGGGAGGGGGTGCCGAACCGGCCGAAGCGCTTACGAGCGCGGCCGTCCATGGCGCATCGTTCGCACGCTGAGGCCCGCGCGCGGCGTCGATGCGATCCAGCCGATCCTGCTGTGCAGACGGCACAGTCGATCTGTCTGCGGCTGTCAGGGGCAGCGTTAAGCGCTACAGAATCGGCGGCATTGGCTTCGTGTGTCGGGGGGTACCTTCCCCGATCTGTGGATCTGGCGCCCGTGCGCCAGATCCACCGCTCCCCAATCCATGTTGGCGTGCGCCCGAGATGGTACTGGGCCCCGGATGGTTGCCTGGGCCCGGGATGGTTTCAATCCGCTGCGTTTCGTCGAGTGCGTCTAGGGTGCCGAGATCTGTCCGAACAGCCAACGGAGATTCGTGTTCTGGCCTGAAAACAATGAGGGGAAGGCCAGGGGCAACATCAGGGGGGAAAGGCTCAGAGGGGATCGACACCCAATCGCCACATTCATCGCCAATCGATGCCGATATCCGACCCTGGGCCCCGACCAGGACCATTCGGAATCGCTATCGGGGACTTACCGCCGATTTATCGGCAATGTGTTGCCCATTCCAGCTCGATGTTTCCCCCTCCCCCCAAGCTGGTCCCCCCCAAACGTTGAGGGCAGCCTTTGAGCAGTCAAGTGCTGGTGTGGCCCTCCGACGGCCCGGCGGTGGCGCCGGCGCCGGCGTCAGCGACGGAGCCGAACTGCATAACCGTAAAGTGGGGGCCCATGCCAAAAAACACCATGCATGCCTCCAGGGTGCCCTGGGTTTCTTGGGTTTCGATGGTTTTGCTGTGGAGAGCGTGACGTTCCCAATCGATGGACGTCCTGGGGTTTCAGGGTTGGGTTTCTGGTAGAAGGTCTCTTGTGGTCGGGCCTCCACTGTAAACTTTCGGAGTTCCAGGCGGATTCATTGGATCGGTGCGGGACCCTTTGGCGGCGCCTCCAGTGCCACCCCTGTCGCGCTCCGCGTGCCAGGGAGGGGGGCCCAGCGCGGATCCGAGAATCCGGCGGCGCGTAGCGCCCAAAGTTTACGTTGGTGCAGTGTTCCCTTCCTCCAACTTCTGTGATTCTGCCTGGAGCCCAGAGGCCTGCTGCCCATTCAGCAGTCGGGTCTGCCGCGAGCCCAGAGGCTTGTTGTCCGTTCAGCAGAAGCACGCTGAAGGGCCCCATGCGGCGGCGTGTCCTTGATGCTGCTTTTTGCCCCCCCCCCCGGACCGACGGCAGCGGCGGCGGCGAAACGACGACAACGTCGAAGATGGCGACGACGACGACGACGACGACGACGAAGATGGCGACGACGACGAGAAGGACGACGACGACGAGGACGACGACGAAGATCACGGGCGCGACGGCGGCGACGACGACGACGACGCAGATGGCGGCGGCGGCGGCGGGAGCGGCCGCCGAGGGGGCCCCACGCCGCTGCCGCGCGCGCTGCGCGGGCTGGGCCTGGGCCAGGCGCCGTGTCCCCCGCCCCCTGCTGATGTCCAAGGGAGAGGAGCACACGTGCCAAAACATCCTCGTCCCCCTCCTCCTCCTCCTCCTCCTCCTCCTCCTCCTCCTCCTCCTCCTCCTCCTCCTCCTCCTCCTCCTCCTCCTCTCCTCCTGATTCTCCTCCTCCTCCACCTCGTCCCCCTCCTCCTCCTCCTCCTCCTCCTCCTCGTCCTCGTCCTCGTCCTCCTCATCCTCGTCCCCCTCCTCTTCCTCCTCCTCCTCCTCCTCCTCCTCCTCCTCCTCCTCCTCCTCGTCCCCGTCCGCAGAAAGGGGGTTCGGCGCCAAAACCTACGCTGGTGCCTGGCGGGCTTCTGCCAAGATCCCCTGCGGTCGCTTGTGCCACAACCCTGCCTTTTTCACCAGGTCCGGCAGGGCGCATACCACGTTGCTCAAGGGCTGAGCCCCGAGGTGGCCCCGTAAGAGAGGCTCGAGCGGGAGGAGGAGGTGGTGGAGGAGAGGACGGCCGTAGATCCGACCATTTCTTCCTGTCTGGTGCGCCAGGCACTTCGGCAAGGCGGGTCTCTCAGCCTCAGCGGCGGACCGCAGCCTGCGCAGGTACTAGCGTAGGAGGGGGGGGGGAAGGGCAACGATCGATCGAGGAAACGTCAGTGCGCGTGGACCAGCGGCGGGTCCCACTTCCGTGCAGAGTCGGCGCGATCCGTTGCCAGATCGGGCGGCATTGGTGCAGCTTCCCTGGCCCGTGGATCTGGCATTTTCGCCCCTGATACACTCCGTGCTAGAGTGTGCCCGAGATGAAGGGCAATGAAGTTTACAGTCAACTCGCATAGTCAGGACGAGCAATTTCCCAATCCTTCCCTTTCGGCCCATCGTTGGCCGCTTTCGCTGGCCACGCCTGGCTCGCACAGTGTCGACATGGCCTTCCAAGGCCCTTGCATCCTCACCGCGTATCCGTATTGTACGTGTTGACTGCTGAGCTTACTGAACTTCGTCTGACGTTTGAATTCGACGTGCGGGATGGTTTCCAGCAGTTGCGCCTCGTCGGGTGTGTTCAGTCTTTTGGATCAAGGAAGGACAAACAACCCGGACTGGACAATTGGCGCTTACTAAACAGCCCTGGGCGTTCATTTCACAGCCCTGCCCTGTTCGATTCCTTCAGTGGGCGCGTGTAGTCAACGGCTTCACGTGTCGGGATGGTTCTTATGGGTCGGAAGCCGGGCAAGGGTTGCTAAATCCGTGGCTTCTAAAATCGACCTCCGGGAAGTTGTATTCGTCCTTCCGGGAAGAAGCCCGTTGACTGCTTCGCGTGCCGCGCCTCCTTTCGGGATGTTGTTGTTTCCTCCTTCCGGGAGGGCCGTTTTAGCAGCCACGGTTTTAGGAGCCCTCGCCCAGCTGCCGGTCGGGCATGTCCTCTTGCAGGCGGATTTTGGACGGAAAATCAAATATTCCCAAAAATATGCAGAAAATCATCCATATTCCTCCTGTCGAGTAACAGGCCCTGCTGAAGTCTGGCCGCTTCTGCGAGGCGTGCCAGCCTGGGGCGGGGGAGGAGAATGGGTGGGACAGCTTTCGCACGGGGGTGGATGTTTTACCCCCTATACTGGAGGGGCCCAGGTCGTTGCGAACGGCCGCCGGGCGGCCCGAGCTCTGGCCGACAGCCAGGGAGCCATCTGCTCCGGGGGGCGCCCCGGAGTTGAAATGTCTGTCGGCTGTGCCAGGAGTGCGTCGGATGTCTGTTGATCTACGCTTGAGTCGGGCCTGTCCCTCTAGAGGCGGAATATTCGAACATAGCAATATGAATAATTGGGATGTTTCAGCCAAAATCCCCTTGGACATGCCCGACCTGAATCTACGAATCTTCGACGCATGCATCGTGGACCCGACGAACAACTCCATGCCGGGGCAGATCATGTCTGCAGTCGAGCCCCTGTTCGAGAAAATTAGATGCCTTTTGTAGTTGCGTCTGCGACACCGGCAGTTCGAGGGGCCGGGTCAAGAACGAAGTTAAGCGCTTCGCGGTTCGCGGTTCGGCCCCAATTCTTCCTCGTCCTCCCCTTTTCCCCTGGGAGGCGTCGCGAGAGCGCAGAGGTATTCGCACTCGGGGCTCAGCGCGAAGCGCGACGCGCGAAGTTGGGAGACCTTGGCAGTGGCCTCGACCAGCCGCTCCGTGGCGGTTCCGTTCCGTCGGTCGGCCCGACGACCTGGTCACTTGGCATCGCTCGGACGCGTGCGTTGTTCTCTCGGCGAGGACCATCGAGGAGCATCCTTGATCATTTGGCAAAAAAGCCACGCACGAAACCGGAAAAAAAACACAGGGACTGGACGTCCGAGCGATGGCCAGGTCCACTCTGTGGTCGACCCCTCCCTGGGGCTCCCGGCCCTGCCGCTCCTGCGCCTGCCGCGGATCGCCGGGCGGCGCGCGAGGCTGGCCTCTCCGGGTCGGCCTCTTTGTGCGAGGATCGGGCCGGCCCCAGAGGGGGTCCAGCGGCGAGGGGGTGGCGCAACAGAGATGCGGTGCCATGGAGCTCTGCGGGGTTGCAGTACAGTCGAGGCGTTGACCTAAGGAACCCCAAATAAGGAACGAGGCCCCTTTTTTCGTAAGTTAAACTTTGACTCCCCATCGAAAACCGAAGGGAAACCTGAGGCAAGGTGTGGAACAATGAAGGAACATCGAGCCCCTCCCCAACGGAAAGGGTTCCTTCTTCAGCGCCCCGACTGTACATTTGGGGCGTGCAATGCGTTCCGGGGCGCAAATGTATTACTGGCGTTTCGCGCGCAGTGCCTTCGTCGCAATACGATGCAATGCAAATTTCCGCTGCAGTACATTTGCAACTCTATTTCCCGAAGTCTATTGCACCACCCCCTTTCAGTTGGACCCCTTTTTTGGTCCGACCAAAGAGGAGGAGGAGGAGGAGGAGGAGGATGAGGAGGAGGAGGAGGACCAATGTAAACCCAAGAGTCATCAACGATGTTGGAGTAAACCCTCCCTCCAAGCCCCCTCTTCACAGACCCCTGCAACGGTTTATTTCCGTTGATGGAACTGCTTCGTTGGAAGACACCTGTTTGAAGACCCTGAAGCCTGCCAAAACATTGTTCTCGAGATTCCAACGCCACAGATCAAGCTGACTGTTGCGTCTAGACGACCCTGAATCCTGCCAGAACGCCATTCGTAGGACTTCAACACAGAGAATCAATGTAAACTTTGCGCCCGCATACTCCGGAATCCTTCTCAAACCGCGTTTCTGCTCGCTGATAAGGGGAACCCGTGAAACTTTTGAAAAGTTTGTAGACGAATGTGCGCGGGGCTACGGCGAGAAACACATTTTGAAAACCACCCGCCCTCAATGTGCGCCGCGCTATGCGAGAGCCACATTTTGAAAACCACCCTCCCTCAATCGGTGAAACTCTTGCAATTGTTTTAAACGAGTCTGCGCCGCGCTAAGGCGAGAGCCACATTCTGAAAACGACCCACCCTCCGTCTGTGAAAGTGTTGCCATTCTTAAAGCTTCAGAGTCATACATGGTGAGGGCCGCCCTAAAAACTTGTTTCGGGGTGCGACAGGGAGAAGGGATTTATAAGGAAAAGGAATGGATGACAAGAGGAGAAGGAGGAGGAGGAGGAGGAGGATGTGGAGGAAGGCGTTCTGGGCTCTCCCAGGGGGGGGGGGTCTTGTGCGTACATACTTCAGAGCGCCGTGTGCGCACGAGCACTGGCAACGATCACCCGATTTCTCGCCATTCCTTTATCTCCGCAACCCTCTTGGCTCACGCAATGGGCACCAGGCCGCGTGGCCACGGCGGGGCGGCGGCGCAGGGCGGCGGCACCGTGCTCCCTGGGCCCAAAGCCCCCGCCTGGGGCTGCCGCTGCGGTGAGGCGGCCAACTGGGCATCGCGGCTCCACTGCAGGAGCTGCGGGGCCCCCGCGCCCGTCTCCGTGCGGCAGCGGGCCGTGGAGGCGGCGGCAGGCCCGTCCCCGTCTGCGGCGCGGCCGCCCAGGACCGCGACGCCCAAGGCCAAGGCGGGCGCCAAGGCCAGCGCCGAGGCGGAGCCCAAGCCGGCGGCGGCGGCCGCAGGGGCGCCCTGGGTGCACGGCGGCGGCAAGCCTCGGCGCGTGCGCTTCCGCGAGGCGGAGGTCGTCGAGGTCGGGGAGGACGACGAGCCCGACCAGCTGGCCGCGGCGCTGCGGCTGCTGGAGGAGCGCGGTGTCCAGCTGGACGAGGAGGCGCAGAGGAAGCTGGGCGTCGGCAGGCAGGCCGACCCTGGCAAGGCGGCCCCAGAGGCGCCCAAGTCGCACCATGCGACGGTGCAGAGCGCCATGTGGAAGGTCAAGAACACGGCGGGCAAGCTCGAGCGGGCTCAGCAGAGCCTGGAGGCCGCTCAGGATGCTTTGGCGGACGCCCAGCTGGCGGTGGACAAGGCCGCGGAGGCCAAGGAGGCCGCGGCCAAGGCCCACGCCCAGGCGCAGGACCTGCTCGAGCGCGCCAGGAGGGTGGAGCAGGCGGGCCTCCCGCCTGAGGCTCAGCTCGACCAGCGCGCGCAGGACGTTGACAGGCTGGCCCAAGCCACCCTCGGCGCGAGGTACGCCGCCGAGCTCAAGGACCACTTCGAGGGCGAGGAGGCCGTCCAGGTCACCCAGGCCATCGAGCTCTTCTCAAGGCTCGCCGCCTCGAGCAAGGCCCGCATCGATGCGGCCGAGCGGGCGGCGGAGGCCCCACCCTCTGGGGCGCCTCCTGCTGCTGCTGCTCCTGCTGAGCGCCCTCCCGACAGCGCAGGCGGGTCACCCGCAGCCGCAGGAGGGGACGCAATGCAGGAGGAGGGCGACGACTTCGCCGCCAGAATGGAGGCCCTCGACGGGGCCAAGCGAGCCGAGGTCGAGCGCTTCCTCGAGTCGCACGGCTGCTCCTTGCCCAAGCGCTTGCGCCTCCCAGCGGGCTCCGCTGCAGGCAAAGGCGCGGCCGAGGCAGCAGAGAAAAGCGAGGGCCAGAGTCACTGAGGCGCCCGAGGGCGCGGATGCGGCAGCTGCTGACCGCAGGGCCCTGGCGCCCCGTGAGGGCTCGCTTTGGAGGCTAGTCTCTGCCAACACGACCTCCAGGGCGAGCATGCGACGCTGGCTGCAGGGGGAGGCGCAGGGCGACATCCTCTTCGTGCAGGAGACGGGCGTGGCGCCAGGAGCGAGGGCGGAGGTCGAGCAGGCCGTCCGACGTGATGGCTGGAAGGCCTCCTTCACGGAGGCTCGCCGCACGGAGCGAGGAGGACTCTCCAGCGGAGTCGGCATCGCGTGCAGGGCCCACTTGGGCATGGGCATGCCGCCCGCGGGGCCCGCGCTGCCTCCCGACAGGATGGTGGCCCGCTGGGTGAACGCCATCGTCCCAGGAGGATTCCTGGCGGTCTCGGTCTACCTGGTGGCGACCACCAGCGGCCTGGACCCCGAGAGCAGGGTGCTGCTCGCGCAGCTGGGCCAGTACCTCGAGGCGGTGCAGGCCCCGTGCATCATCGGCGGCGACTGGAACTGCGCACCGCAGGAGCTCGAGAGATGGGGCTGGCCCGATCGAGTCTCGGGTTTCGTGGCGAGCTCGGGGCAGACCACCTGCAGGGTTGGAGGAGGCACAGAGATCGACTTCTTCGTGGTTTCCTGCAACATGGGCGCGGCCGTGAAGAGAGTCTCGCGTTTGGACGCAGCGCTGAGCCCGCACTACCCAGTGCAGCTGACGCTGGACGGCAAGAAGGCGCCTGAGAGGGCTCTGTGGCATCGGGCACCAAGGCCGTTCCCCACCGAGCGACCTGTGGGGCCGAGGCGCGAGCCGCCGTGCTGGACAGGCTTGCTTTCGGAGCTGGCGGACGCTATCGCGGCGGCAGCACCCAGCAGCGCCGCTGGCAGCCAGGGCCCGTCGGAGGATGGCCCCGAGCCCGCCGGGGAGGCCGACGCCGCCGCCGCTGGGGAGGCCGCCGAGGACGTCGAGGCCGCCGAGCTGGACGAGTCCTGCGACCAGGGAGGTGGCGAGAGGCGCGATCCAGGGGGACCAGTCCCGTTGGGAGCGGTCCCCCAGGATCCAAGTCCTGGGACAAGCAGTTGGGGGCAGCCTGCGATAAATTGCCCTGCAGTGGATGCGAGCTCCGACGGCCATGAGACATTGCCGAGCGTTTTAGGGCCACCCGTCCTGCTGCCACCGTCAGCTTCGGCCGAGGCGTTGCGAGGAGTTCGCGCGTGCTACGACGAGGACTGGGCGGCGGTCGTCCATTCCTTGAAGGGCGACGTGCTGGACTCGCCCCCGTGCGCCGCCACGGAGAGCGAGCCCGAGCCTGCAGGGCAGGCTGGCGGCGCAGGCCAGAGGCAGACTGGCGAGGGGGCGGCGGAGAGCGCGGCCGAGGTCGAGAGGCTGGGCCCTGCTGCTGGGCTCGAGGGCGACCTGGGGGGAGACGGCACGAGGCGCCCAGCGGCTGGCGGAGATCAGTCTTGGCGTGGGGGCGCTGGGGCGAGGCAATCACAGTCGTTGGGGTCTGGTGAGGCCCCTCAGGCCGCGGGCAGCTGGCCTCGGACCCTGGACGAGCTCTACGCCAGCTTCGCGGCGTTGCTCGAGGAGGACTTGGGCGGCCTCTTCGACATGGAGCAGGAGGACCTGATGAAGTGCGCGGGGCGCGGCGAGCCCGCCCGCTTTCAGGAGGGCACCGTCAGCGCCAGCAGGCGGGGGGCACGTGCCCGCGGCTCCTCGCAGGCGCGCACCTGGCACAGGATCGCGGCGCTGCTTTGGGAGGAGCTGGCCAGCAGGCGCCGCCTGCGGGCGCCGCACCTTGTCTCGAGGGAGCTGACCGCGCTGGCGCGGCTGCAGGCCAAGCTCGGCAAGCTGGCTGCGCAGGACCTGGTCGGCGACATCGGCCTGAACGAGGCCCAGAAGTGGAGCAGGCAGAGGGACTTGGCACGCCAGCTGCGGGCGACGGGCGCCATGACCTACGGCCAGCTGAAGTCACTGGAGGCCTACGCCAGGCAGGCCGCCAAGGCGTTCGACTTGAGAGACGCCAAGGGCCGCACCAAGGCCTGGAGGGATTGGTCCCAGGAGGCGGTGCGCGGGGGCGCGGGGGCCGCCCACGGCTTCTGCAGGGCCCCGCGGGGCTGGACTGCGGACGTGGAAACCAGCGGGCGGCCTGCCGGCATCGCTGGCACTTTGGAGGCGCTGAAAACGGAGTACCAGCAGGTGTGGCGGCACCAGGAGGAGGACTTCGACCTGGAGGCGATGCTCCCCGACGAGCTCCTGGACGAAGCCCCTGGCCCGCCCGCGCCCGACGCCATCCGAGAGGCGGCGAGGTCGTTCAAGGCCGAGACGGCGACGGGGGTGGACAGCCTCAAGCCACACCACTTCGGCTGGCTCTCCGACCACGGCATCCTCGCGCTCAGCCTGCTGCTCCACCTCATCGAGCTGCGGACGGATTTCCCGTCGCAGGTGGCCGAGGTCTTCATTTTCTTCCTGGCCAAGCCCGATGGGGGCTGGCGGCCCATCGGCCTGATCGCCTCCCTGATCCGCCTGCAGGGCAAGATCAGGCACGACGAGGCGAAGTGCTGGGAGGCCGCCAAAGACAGGCCCTACTTCTTCGGCGGGGCTGGCAGGTCCTGCGAGGACGCGGTCTGGCTGCAGAGCTTCGACGCGGACCACGCGAAGGCGCTGAACCTGGAGGCCGCTTCCGCGCTCCTGGACCTCAGCAAGGCCTACGAGAGGGTCACGCACAGAGGGATGGTCCACGCCGCGGTGAGGGAGGGCTTCCCGCTGAGGAGGGTCAAGATCCTCCTTCGCCTCTACGGGGGCAGGAGGCGCCTCTGTTTGGACCGCTGGATGACGGAGGCCTTCCAGGTTTTCCTGTCGCTGCTGGCGGGTTGCTCCTTTGCCACGACGCTGCTCCGCGTGGTGTTGGTCGAGCCTTTGGACGCGATGCTGGCGTCCTGGCAGATGGTGCGCCCATACCTCGTGGTCGACGACATCACGTTGGCGGTCTACGCTAAGCGCGCGCAGCTGGAGCACCTTTTGGTCGGGGCCACCCGCGCCCTCTGCTTGGACCTGGAGGCTATCGGCTTCACCATTTCCTTGACGAAGGGCCAGGTTCTGTGCACCGACTCCGACATCGCCAAGCGGGTCGCCCACAGGCTCAGACGCTGGAAGTTCACGCACGTGAAGGCCACGAAGAACCTGGGCGTGGACTTCACCATGGCGAGGTCGGCCTCGTGGAGGGTGCTACGGCAGAGGATCAATCGCCTGGGCCAGAGGGCTGGGCGATACAGGGCCTTGCGCAAGGCGGGGGCCAAGAGGCTCTCCAAGGTGTTCAGGACAGGAGGGCTGGCGTCCATCCTCCACGGCGCGAGGGTCAGCGGAGTACCCACGAAGACCCTGCAGCGCGCCCGAGCAGTCAACGGCAGGGCCATCTCGGGCGAGATCGGCCAGAGGTCCAGGACTGTGCTCTTCGCCCTGCAGGAGGGCAAGGACTGGAAGCACGACCCAGCATACGCGGCGCACGCCCTCCCGCTGAGGGCTTGGGCTCGCGCCGTCTTCCTGCGCGTGCGGCCCCCTGCGGTCTTCAAGCAGGTGCTGGAGTGCAGACCAGGCGACTGGGGCGAGGTCACTGGGCCAGCAGGGGCGGTCCGCCTCTCGCTGGAGCTCATCGGCTGGGAGCTGCTGGACTGGCACCGCTGGAGGGACGACCGTGGGCAGATCCTCGACGTGCAGCTGCTCAGCCCGCGGATGGTGGCCAGCCTCGTCGAGAGAGGGGTCCACCGCTACCTCATGCTGAAGGTCGCGAGCCACGAGGGCTTCGAACATCTCCAGGGCCGCCCGCCCAACCTGGAGCCGTTTAGGACGGCATTGGCGGGCATGCGGCGCGCTGGCAAGTCGCAGGAGGCCGCGCTGGTGGAGGCGCACATGGCAGGCGGGCTAGTCACGCAGTCCGACCTGTGCGACGAGAGGGCAGAGCTCAGCCCGCTGTGCCAGTGGTGCGGGGAAGCACCAGGCACGGCGCACCACGGGCTGTTCGTGTGCCCCGCCATCGCCTGCTGGGCGCGCGACCTGGGCTTCCAAGAGGTCGCCGGCGCAGGCAGGAGGGCGCCGCAGGACGACCTGGGCCTGGTGAGGGGCCTCGTCAACCTCGGGCTGGACCAAGCCCCGCCCCCTGGCACGGACGAGCTCTGCCACCGCGCAGGTTGCGCGCGACGCGGCCTCCTCGAGGGCGTCACCTGCATCGACGGGTCCGCGATGTACCCCGAGATCCCGTGCCTGACGCGCACGGGATGGGCGGCCGTGGTGGTAGACGACGTCGGGAACGCCGTCGGCGGCCTCTTCGGGGCGCCGCTTTTTTTTTTTTTTTTTTTTTTTTTTTTTTTTTTTTTTTTTTTTTTTTTTTTTTTGTTTTTTTTTTCTTCTTTTTTTTTTTTTTTTTTTCTTTTTTTCTTTTTTTTTTTTTTTTTTTTTTTTTTTTTATTTTTTTTTTTTTTTTTTTTTTTTTTTTTTTTTTTTTTTTTTTTCTTTTTTTTTTTTTTTTTTTTTTTTTTTTTTTTTTTTTTTTTTTTTTTTTTTTTTTTTTTTTTTTTTTTTTTTTTTTTTTTTTTTTTTTTTTTTTTTTTTTTTTTTTTTTTTTTTTTTTTTTTTATTTTTTTTTTTTTTTTTTTTTTCTTTTTTTTTTTTTTTTTTTTTTCTTTTTTTTTTTTTTCTTTTTTTTTTGTTTTTTCTTTTTTTTTTTCACGCCAGGCTGGATCCAGGAGATCGGCTACGCGGAGCTCTACGCGCTGCGCAGAGTCCTGGAGGAGGTCGGCCCATCGCCCATCACGGTCTATACAGACTGCAAGGGGATCAAGGACGACTTCGAGGCAGGCCGCGAACGCTGTTGCGGCCCAGGCCACAAGTACGCGGACCTGTGGAGGCGGGTCTGGCAGCTGCTCGACGACCTCGGCCCTGGCTTCCTCAGGTTGACGCGGCTGCCGTCGCACACTTCGTGGGCCAGGGCCAGTGCTGCAGGCGCGCCATGGCAGGCCTTCGCGGGCAACAGGGAGGCCGACGAGAGGGCGAAGGAAGGCGCCAGGCTCCACCCCAGGCAGGGGCGGCTGCGTGAGTTGAGCCGCCGCCTGGACGCCGCCGCCGCGCAAGCAGAGGCCTGGTGCGGCCACCACGGGGGGATCCTGAAAAGGCTCGCCGACCTCGGATGGCCCGATCGCGGGGCCCTCCCTAGGCCCAGGGGCTCGGATCCTGGGACCCTGGCCCTGGTGGGGCCCGACAGGGGCCACGTCCTGGCCAGGCTCGGTCGAGCCTGGGGCTGTTCGGTCTGCGGGATCCGTCGGGCTACCAGGGCCAGGGTTGTCGCCAGCGCCTGTCCAGGACTCCCGTGGTTGGTCGCCAGGTCCCACCCGTCCCACAGGCTTTGGGTGATTCGGGGCGGGGATGGGCCGTGTCGGGGGTCCTTTGGGACGGGTGGCTGTCTCGTGTTCTGTCGAACGTGCGGGGCCCACGGGAGTCGCCAAGCGAAGCTCCTGGCCGACCCCTGCGTCCCGCTGGCCAGTAAGGGCCGCGACGCGGCTCGCCTGGCTCGCCGTGCCCTCGAGCGCCTCAGAGCGGGGCGGGAGCCCCAGACAGGCAACCGCTGGGGAGCGGTCCCGTTCCCTGTCTCGAGGGCGGCGGCAAGGAGGGTTTAACTTTTGTTAAATTTTGGTTTGGACTCCAAGGGGCCCTCCCGCGCCAGGTTCCCTTGCCTGGCGGGTCCTGGGTCTGCCGTGGAGTGTTTTGATCCCCGTTCGGGGCCGAGGCTGGTTTGCGGAGCGGACCGCCTTCTGGTAGGAACTAGAGGAACTAGAGGATGTGGAGGAGGAGGAGGAGGAAGACCCTGTTCCCATCCTCATCCTGATCCCCACCATCCCACCACCCCAGAAGGGGATGTGCCCTCGAGCCCCGGAGGGGCCAGCCTATATGCCCCATCCAGGGGTGTGATTCGGCAGTGGGGCCTAGGTCGCGCCAGTGGGGATATATTGCTGTTAAACTGTGTTCAGAGGAGGAGGACGATGAGGAGACGGACGCGCAGGAACGGGATGTAGTGGAGCAGGCAGGGGGAAGAGGCGGATGAGGATGATGACCAGTGTGAACCCGAGACACATCATTCACGTAGCGCTAAACCTTCCCTCCGAGTTTTTTCTTCACACTTCCTCTTCACAGGTCCTTTACTCTTTACTCTTCAAACCGTCCTTGAGACTTCATCACAAGTAGGAGGACGATGAGGAGCAGGACGCAGACGAGGAGGGTGTGTATGAGCAGGGGTGGGAGGCAGATGCGGAGGACGAGGAAGAGGACGAGCAGGAGCATAAGGATGAGGATGAGGAAATGATTAGGACGAGGATAGGATGAGGATGAGGATGCTGCTGCTGCTGATGTTGATGACGACGATGATGATGACGATGACGATGCCAACGCCTCGGGACCGCCCGCGCCCAGACCCAGCGGGAGGAAGGGGGGGGACAGGGCAAACCACTTCCCGAAGGGGAAATGTGTGGCTGGACAGGCGAGATTGCGAAACGACTTCCGCCCAGAGGGCTGGCGATACTCCGGCGCACGTCTCGGGCAACCTCTTTCTCGGGGGCCCCCAAAGGGGGTGGTGACCACACCGTGCGGTGAGTCGGTGGGGATTCGGGGTCACCGCACGGTTTCGGGGACTCGAGTCCCTCGCCGAGGACGTCTCGGGCGACGGGGGCCTCCAGGGTCCCAAGACCGTGCGGTGACGGACCGTGCGGTGAGGTCTCTTGGGGTTCCGAGGTCACCGCACGGTCTGTCACCTCACCGTTTCGGGACTCCAAACTTTCTGCGAGGACCTGTGTGGCCGCCAATCGCTGCCCGACGAGGGTTGGTGTTGGTGCATCCTTGAATTGGTT